TGAAATGACATTAATAAGCTTAGAAACATATCATTTACTTAATAATATTAGTGAAAACAACAATAAATTTACTTATATTATTTATGATGCAACTACTAAAAAACCATCGACAGCTAATCGATTAAAAAAAATGTGCATATATAAAAAATGACAGATTATCAAAATATTAAAATTAAGCTTTCAGAATATCAAAAGAATAAAATCAAGAAAGAACTTGAGAATAATTCAAAAAAAATTATTATAAAATTAACTTTTAAAAATCTAAATAATAAACATGCTAAAGATGTAATATCTCTAACACATAAACAATTAGAAGTAGTCAATGCATTTAAAAATAAAAAAGGTATAACACTTGAATTAAATGAAGAAAATCTCATGCATAATTCTAAAGTGGAAAGTGGATTTCTACCTTTACTAGGATTAGTTGGAAGTTTTTTAGCTTCAAAAATTGTACCTGCTGTTGCAACAGGATTATTAACAGGAGTAGGCGCAGCTGCTGGAAGCACCATAGTAAATAAAATTGCTGGTAATAGTATTTTGTATGTGAAAGATGATAAAAGATCTTTTAAAGTAAGAAAAGTAGGAAAAAGATTACTAATAAATGAATGGAGAAAAGGAAGATATTTAGGAAATGGGTATTACTACTATTATGGAAAAGGAACTAGAAACGATAAACAACATGAAAAAGTTGGAAAAGGTTTAATATTAGGTGAAAATTTGCCATTTAAGAATATTCCAGTATTAGGTTGGATTCTATAGATCACGAAGTTATCCAGACTTCGTTAGATCACGAAGGGATCAAGATATAAATATATATTTTAAGTAAATATATATTTCATTTAGTATTTAATACAGATAAAGGAAAATAAAAACGATCAAAACCATTTCTATATTTTCCATTCTTCACATCTGATGATAAATCAATAAAAACAAATTTATGAGGTTGCGACCAAACTATTTTACAAAAATTTTTAAACTCTTCTTTTGACATATCATTTGAAACATGATCATTATAAATATGACTTACATTTTTTGAATCTTCTTTAAACAAGCATATAAAATTCGCATTTTCTCTTATTGTTTTCCTTGGTAGCATAAAATAATTTTGCGCTAAATAGAAACAATCTACATTACTATGCCTTCCTCTTATATAATATTTTTCACACTTGTTTTTTTTTGTTAATTGTAAATCATCGAATATCATTAAGTTATTTTTAGTAAGATCGAGATCTTCAGGTTCTGGTACATCATCTGCTGTTTCATAAAACTGACACTCCATATCTATTTTATTTTTTAAATTTTTTGAATGAACTTCAATTACAAGATCAGGGTTGATATTCATCTTATCTATTTTATTCTGTAACTTAAATATTTTAAGAATATCTTCTTTTGGTACTTTTTTTTCAAAAGAACTTTTTAATGTTTTGTATTCGGGTTGAAAAAGAGATTTTCCAAAAACTTGTAAATTATTATAGTCTAACCAATCAGGTCTTATAAGTAAATTTAATAATAAATTTGTTTTTCCACAACCAGACTTTCCAACTATAAATCCTCTTATACTTCTTGGTAATAACTCATTATTATGACGATTATTTTTATTTACATTATATGACAAATCTAATACTTCCATTTTCTTATATAAAGAATTTTTTATATCGTTTTCAGAGATTTATAATTAAAATGTAATAAAAAAAATAGTAAGTAAATAAAAATGTACTGCCTTAAATGTAAAAGTAAAACAGATACACTAAACTTACAACATGCTGTAAGTAAAAATAATAGAAACATGCTGCGTGGAAATTGTGCTAGTTGTCGTACAACAAAAACTCAATTTACAAAAGGAACTAAAGGAGTTGATTTAGTAGAATCGCTTAATTCATTTACAAAGAATAAAAATTTACCATGGGCAAAATTTCCAGGCGAAATGCATTTACCTGGAAAGAATTTTGCAAGACCTGGTACTAATTTAGATGCAAGATTAACTTCTGCTGATGCATATAACGAATGGAGTAAACCTGTAGATCGAGTTGATAATGCAGCTTATATTCATGATCTCGTTTATAAGCATTTTCCAGATAAAGAGCATAGAAATTTAGCTGATAAACAAATGATTGAACGATTGGATGCTATACAAGATCCAACACCACGTGAAAAATTAGAAAGAAAGATTATAAAACCTATCATATCTGCTAAAGCAAAGTTTGGATTAGGTGTAAAGTCAAAAAACTACCGGCGATCAACAAAAAAAGCAAAAAGATGAAATAGACTGATGAACTTGCAAACGAACTTCATAAGCCTGTTGTAAAACATTTTAGAAAAAGAAAAGTACTTTCAAATGGGATTGATGACATATGAACTGCTGATTTAGTTGACATGCAAGCTTTTTACAAGTTCAATGACGGTATAAAATACTTATTGATAGTGATAGATGTATTTTCAAAGTATGGATGGATCGTTCTGTTAAAAAATAAGACAGGAATTGAAGTTGCTAATGCATTCAATAAAATATTTAAAGATAGAAAATGTACAAAATTATGGGTAGATAAAAACTTGGAATTTTATAACAAGGATGTTAAAGCATTAGGAGTGCAGCTCTATTCAACTAAAAATGAAGTAAAAAGCTGTGTAGTTGAACGTTGGAATAGAACAATGAAAGAGAAAATTTTCAAGTACTTTTCTGCTAATTCTACTATAAAATACATTGATGTTTTAGATGAAATGTTAAATCAATACAACAACTCAAAGCATTCTTCAATTAAAATGACTCCAGCTGAAGCAAGCAATAAAAAGAATGAGAATATAGTATTTCTAAATCTAAATGGAAAAGTAAGATCAAATCCTATTAAACCCAGTTTTTCAATAGGTAATAAATCAATAGGTGAGAATAACTAAAAAGAAAGGAGCTTTTGAAAAAGGATACACACCTAGATGGACTGAAGAGGTCTTTACTATATCACAAGTTCAGTACACAGATCCACCAACTTATAAAATAACTGATTATAATGGTGAAAAAATGCAAGGTACTTTTTATGAACAAGAACTACGAAAAACGAATCAAGAAATATTTAGAATTGAAAAGGTTATTCATAAACAAAGTAACAAATTGTATTAAAGTGTTTGGATATCCTGATACTTTTAACTCATGGGTTGATAATAAAAAATTGAAAAATCTGTAAAAAAATCTCTAAATAATTATCTTGCATATAAAAAAAGATGCAAAACTCCAATGTAAATGTGAATATATGCGTATCAGCTATTTCTGGTCATGCTAATACAAATACTACTGTAACGACGACAACTTCATCTTAAAACAACTTAAAATGACGCATGCGCACTGAGCAGAGCATGGGTCCCTTTGGGACCTATGACGTCGCACAAGAAAATTCCTCGACAAGAAACGAAATTAGCACTAATTTGAAAACTGATTTTTAAATTAAAAAATTGATTTAAAAATTTATTTCTTAGTTATACTATTTATACACACTATGGATTAAAATTAACCATATATTTAATTAAATATATGGTTGAATAAATGGTTGATAATGAAAATGAGCCAGAACCCGCTGTTAATATCTACTAATATATATTTTCTGTTTAATAGATATCAATAAAACTATTTTTGTTAATTATGAGATATTTAGTTTTTTTTTCAGAGTAATAAGGTCATCCGTTGAAATTCATCCGTTTTAAGTAAAACTTATACTATGAAGGATTATTTTGTTTTAACGGTATATAAATAGTAAATTGCTAAACTTTTATTTTTCTTTACAGCCAAAGAGATATATCCTGTTTTTGTGATATATCTGTTTGTATTAATTTAAAAAAAGTTATTTGTTCAACAATTTGGCATTTGTTGTTTTTTTAAATAGATTACTTTTGAACCAATAAGAATTACTTTGCTAATGATCTTGTGTTCTAAGTGCTAGTGTGCGTGTTTACTTTCTGGATAGGGCAGCTACATTTATTTTAAATAAAATCTCAAACAATTTTTAAAAAATTGCTAAAAGTCAACTTTTAATAAACATAGTTGAAGCTATAAATAATTATACTATATAAGAAACAACTTACAAAAAATATTTTAAAAAATTTTTTAAATTTATAAAAAAAATATATAAAAAATGTATAAAAGAATATAAAAATTATTATAAATATAAATTTTTAAATTATATTTTATAAATATATATTTTTATACATATATATATAAAATTAAATTTTATAAATATATATTTTTAAATTATAAATTATACACATAAGTGTATAAAAAACTATATATTATATTAAAGCTTATTTAACTGTTATACAGAACCGGCGAGATCGGCCAGGGGGCGCTGGTCCCCCACTTGTTTCTAAAAGACCTTTTTTTTTTAAAAAAAATTTATTGTTATAGAGGACTTTTTTTTAGATGTTGACCCATCTACTTTCGAGCCCATGTTGTCGGTCCTGTTATACCAAATTAATAACACTAAAACCATTATTAGTGGACAATGACAATAATTGGTTTAATATCTTTTTTAAATTTATCAGTCTCAACTTCAATTTCATTGGTTTATTGAATCCTTGAAACCTTCTAAACAATTAATTTATTAATTTATTAATTTTATCGCTAATAATGGCCTTGAAAGTTTTATATACTAAACACTTCGATATTTTTAAACCATAAATAAGCCACGCAAAAAAAAATTATAAAACTAATTTTTGTCATTTAGATTTACATTAACTATTTCTAATGCGATTAAAATTGTTGCATTATAAAAGAGAATAAACCATATTGAAACATGGTTTGACCTTACAAAAATAAAAAAACCATACAATACAATAGTATGATTACAAAATACATAGAATGGTTTATAATGGTATATATATAAAAACAATGTAATGATTAAAAAATACATAAAAAATAAAATACCTAGAATGGTTTAATATTATAAAAATAAAAAAAACCATTAAGTATATTATATTTAATACCAAATGATGCTATTGTATTTCTAATTCTTTAAACTTATTTTGTATTAACAGATAAATGCACTTGGACGATCTATTTGTAATTCTAATGTTGAATTTCGATGCATTATTTTATGTTTCCTTTATTCTCCTACATAATTCTAAAACTACGAAACGTGCCAAACGAACCAAACGATTAACTTATACAGGAAAAAACTTTTAGTATTTCTGTAAACAAAAATGGAACAACAAAGTCAAAAACCATCATCCAATAGCATCATGCAAATTGGCACTGGTTTTTGGGCTTCGAAAGTTCTTTTGGGTGCAGTAAAGTTGGAGCTTTTCACAAAACTTGCTGAAAAAAAAACAATGTCAGCCCATGAAATAAAATCAAGTTTAGAGTTAAACTGTACCGACCGAAATTTGTTTGATTTTTTAGACACACTTACGACATTTGGTTTTTTAGAGAGAGAAGGTTTACTTGATACTGCAATTTATTCAAATAACATAAACACAGACTTTTTTTTGGACAAAAAGAAACTCACTTATATTGGTGGATTTATGCAAATGCTAAACAACAGATCGTATAACATTTGGGGTAACTTTGAAGAGGCATTGTTAACTGGACGTCCGCAGAGTGAAGCAAAGAATGGAGGAACTGTTTTTGATTATTTTTGTTTAGATTCTGTAAAGTTAAAAGAGTTTATACATTCAATGAGTGGTTTACAGATGGAGAATTTCATTCTTCTAGCTCAAAACTTTGATTTTTCAAAGTACAAAACATTAGTTGATATAGGCGGCTCGGCAGGAATATTTTCTTTGATGGTTGCAAAAAATCACTCTCATATGAGCTGTATTTCTTGGGATTTAGCTCCAGTCACTCTGATTGCCAACGAAGTTATTGAAAACTATCAATTGCAAGATCGTGTAAAAACAAATTGCGGGGATTTTTTTAAGGACGAATTTCCCAAAGCCGATATTATAACAATGGGAAATATTTTACACGATTGGGACGAGAACACCAAGTTAATGTTGCTTAGAAAAGCTTACAACGCTTTGCCGGAGGGTGGAGTTTTTATTGCTATTGAAAATGTAATTGATGACGAACGAAAGAAAAATGCTGGTGGTTTGTTAATGAGTTTGAATATGTTAGTTGAAACTGGAACTGGATTTGACTACACATTTGCTGATTTTGATTTATGGTCTAAAGAAATCGGATTTAAATCAACATCGATTATTCCTCTTTCAGGGCCAACAAGTGCTGCAATAGCTTTCAAATAAAACACTTTAGTATTAGAATAGATAATATTGGTGTAACGTTTTTAATTTTTTCACAATGAAATTATAAAACAATGTAAGCTATTTGATAATAAAAATAAAACTTATAAAATATATAAAAAAGATTAAACCCACCTCTTGTATTTGCAACATACACCAAATTTTTCTATTATTTTTTTTATTAAATTTTCTTAGTTCACAATTAAGCAGCCTCATCGAAATAAATCCCAAAATCAGACTATTTCCAGCAAACACTGGACGTACAAAAAAACGTACAATGTACGTTCAGTTTACGTCATTAACGTCCTAGACCTTTTTCGAATCAAAATATTTGTTTCAGTTAGCGTGCAACGTTCAAACGACGTCTAAATTACATTTAGAAATGTGTCTTTTTAAAATAAAATACAGATCAAACAAATATATAAACAAAAAGCATGTTTTATTAGTATCGGTCAAAAATATTTAGTTTATGGTTGCCTAAATGCGTGCGCCATTATTTATTTTTTCTCGAAATAACATTGAAATCTAAATAACGATTACTGGCGGACCTAAACACGGCGCACCCCAAACTCGGTGAAGTTCGTAAGCTCTTGAAACAATAACTCTCGGAGTTCGTATTTTATTAGAATAGGGGCTAAAATATTTCGTTATTGCGCGCCATAATGGTAAAATTGTTGAAAATATTAAAAATTAAAGTTTGCGAAAATGCATTTTAATAAAAATTTAACATTTTACAAAAAAACCTAAAACTTTAAAATACGAATTACCAACATATATACAGTAAATATTATACATTAAGTATTGTATTAATTTATAATTGTGGCTGGATAGCTCAGTTGGTTAGAGCGTCAAATGAAAAGTTAAAACCCGGACATTTGAACGATAGGAGTTTAAATCCTGCCACCTCCAACTCAGTGCTTGTTATACTTCGGTACGGTTGTTATACTTCGGTACGGTTGTTATACTTTGGTACGGTTGTTATACTTCGACACGGTTGTTATACTTTGGTACGGTTGTTATACTTTGGTACGCAAAAATGTTGGTCAATAACGAGCGTTTCTTTGGATTACTCTTAATGACTATTTGTGGTTGTTCCTATGTTAAGCCAACAATATCTACGCATTTAAGTATTTGTATACAAAAATATAATATGAAAATTCAAATAAATAAATAAAAATATAATAAAATCAGTATTTTTAAGATATTTTTTAATCTACTTAAAGTATCTTCTTAACGATTATCTTCTTAATGTATCTTCTTATAACTTAACGTGTTTGCTTAATTTTTTTTATTTGAACATATCTTTTAGGTTAAGATATCTTCTTTTAATCGATCTTCTAAAGGTATCTTCTTGTAGCATATCTTCTTAACATATCTTTTTGTGGCTTATCTTTTTATAGTTTTTGCAAAGTAAATTTTGTGTTGTACAAAAGTTTTGGGACAATATTCGTAAAATCAAAACCAAAGAAAAAACTCGGTTATTAAAAGGTCTATTATAATTAATAATTTGCAAAACGTAAAAGATATCGTTAAAGAGTTCAAACAACATTTTAAAACTCTACTCAATACGCCGCATAATACAAATAACAAACATAATCCTCTTAAAATTCCGCCTCTAAGTAATGAGCCTAATTCACTAATTATTACATCAGTTGATACTATAAACTGCATATCACAACTATATAATAATAGTGCCCAGATTAAAACAATTAAAAACGATTAACAATTATTTTCTTTTACACGACTAGATTAATTATTTACAAGTCGAGAAGGAAACATCGTAATAGCAGGGCTAATCGAGACGAGTTCCTTTCGTACCAAATTCTACTCATACGCTGAGTAGGCGGAGACGGGATTTGAACTTCCAATCCTGCTGCTACGGCCAATAATTATTCCGAACTTTATAGCAGCGCTATAACCAACTGAGCTATCCCGGCTTCAATAGCTAATACAAGATAGCTTTGGGCTAACTGCTGAACACCTTACAAACTGTCATAATAACAATCTTTTTTTGTGGCTCTTTATTTAATTATTACATTGATTAATTTATTACAATTTTATAGTTATTTTTGCATTGTTTCCATTTACTATGACTGTTAGTTTGAAAACCTTTTGAAAAACAAATTGACAATCGAGAGATTTATGGAGAAAAATTAACGTCTTGATGTAAACTAGCTGACTATATTCCATAAAAAACTGACTTTAAGTTGAAAATAGTCTCCTTTGGAATAATTTGGTGAATAATTGATACGTAATTAGTAATTTGTATAATAATACAAGCACCTTTACCAATATGATACTTGTGGAGGTGTTTGTATTTTTATTTAAAAATCCATTAAATTTATACCACGCAATAACCTAATGTTAATTAAAGTGTTAATTAAAGTTAATGTTAATTAAAGTGTTAAATATATATATAAACTATTAAAAAAAGCTAATGTTAATTAAAGTGTTAATTAAAAAAAATTGTGACACTGTGCGTTGAAACTAATAACCAAAATTCTAAAAACATAACTTTCCATGATATTTGTAGAAAACTAGCAAACCTACAAGGATCGCAAAATGTTCTTTTACTCTACTCATTAGGGTAACTTGGGGAAAAACGAGATACCGTGGCAAAGTGAGACATTTAGTTATTATATTAAACGTTTTAAAGTAGTTTCCATCAGTTTTATCCTATAATATGATATATAAAAGTGGGTTTAAAGCTTACGAGTTGCGTCAATTTGATTAAAAAATCAATTTTTTTTTTTTTTTTTTTTTGTGGAATAAATTCACGTACGCTCCCATTATTTATCGCAGAACAAACATAATATTTAGTTTGTAAACATTTATTTGTTATCTTTCAGCTGCCATTCTTCTTTTTATGTCAGATTATTTTGTTTCAAAAATATTTAAGAAATATATAATTTCACATTTACCGGGAAAGTGCGACAATCCTAGTTACTGAAAAAGATCGTCGAAGTAAACCTTTAGAATAGCAAGTTTACAAATTTTATAAATCGTCAAAGTAAACGTTTACGATAGCAAGTTTAAACTTGCTATCATCATTTTATGAAAGAATTTTATATAAAAGTAAAACATAATTTAATTAGAAACTTTAAAAAAACATAACTTTGTTGTCATTGTTGAATTTGTGACTTACCAAATGATTTGGTGACCAAAAGTTTTTAAATGAGAAACTACAAGAGAAAAACTTATCTAGCTAACTGGAACGAAGATGACATGAAAAATGATATTGCAGCAGTAAAGTTGAAGCAGATGTCTTTAAGAAAAGCTTGTAAAAACTTTGTGTGCCAAGAGATACATCGACGTGTTAAAAAGGCTTTACTTGAAAGTAGTTAACATACTAATTTACTATGAAGATTTAAAAAAGTGCTTTTTGATAACCAATAACAAGATCTAAATAAGTATATTAAAGATATGAACAATTCATTTTATGGTCTCTCAATGATGGATATTAAATTGATAGTATTTGAGTTCTGCAAAAAAAAAATTCAATTCTAAATCCTTTTAACAAAGATAGTAAATTAGCAGGAGAAGACTTTGTGCGAGGCTTTTTCAATCCTGATTTATTACTAAGAAAACCAGAAGCAATTTCTATAAACAGAGTATTTGGTTTGAAGGAAGATAATTTTAAAATCTGTTTTAGTAATTTAGAGAATTTGTTAAATAAGTATCACTTTGAGCCACATCAAATTTTTAATTGTAATGAGTCTGCATCCATAAGCCATTAAAAGTTATCTATCTACAGGAAAATGGTGTGTTTCATCAGTGACGAGGGAAAAAAGGAGTCACAACAACAATTTTATGTGTATTTAATTCTATTGGTCATTATGTACCACCCATGATAATATTTAACTGCGGAAAAAAAATTATTACTTACAAATTGTGCTCTAGTTGGAACTATTCAAGGATGCTCAGAAAATGGCTGGGTTAATACTGATTTATTTCTTGAATATATACAACATTTTGTTAAACATGTACGATGCACCTTGATCAACAAAGTTTTTCTTGTGTTTGTTGGTCATCATTCTCATACCAAAAACTTAATACTTATAGGCTATGCTCGTGACAATGGATTGTTTTTGTTATTGCTACCACCACACTTAACTCATAAACTTCAACCATTGGACTGTGAATTTTTTAAGCCTATGGAAACCTTTTTGAATCAAGCATGTATGAGATAAACACGAAACCATTCAGGGAGACCAATTCAATCAGAAAATCTTGGAGAAGTTTTTAATGAAGCATATTTAAGAGCTGCTACTTCAAGTTTTAGAGCAACTGGAATTGCCCCATTTAATTGGCATTTGTTAGAAAATGAATATCTAAGGTCATCTTTGAGTGGTAATAATAAAATCAGGTTATCCACACCTCATGAAATTCACTTTGATTGTGATAACAAAAAAGAAAGTGAAATTTTACAGCAGCCAGAGTTGACTACATTAGAATTAATGAGTCATGATAAATTAAAGCCAATTGAAGACTTTTCAGAGACCACTGTTACTTCATCAAGTTCTTTTGAAGACGTACTTCAGATTCCAAAACTTTATCCTCCAAAAAGAAAATTAGCTGAAAAATCTCAGATTATGACTAGTTACTAATAGACTAAATTTTTACTTTAAAAGAAAAATAAGAAAAAAACAATAGGAAAAAAAAAAAAAAATGAACAATAAAAAAAAAATTACTGGAAAAGAACAATTACAATAAATTAAAAAATAGAACAAATATAAAAGAAAATTAAAGAAATGCTTGATTGAAAAAGATGTAAACAATGAAGAGGAATGGTTTTGTCCAGTTTGTCCAGAGAAAGGTGTAATGGTACCCTAATCGACTGGATAGCTGTTGTGTATGTACTGTTTGGGTACACGATGACTGCAAATTAAACGATGTTTGCTATTTATGTAAAGAGATTTTATTCAAATTTGTTGACTAACATGAAATTTTGCATTTTTTTATAGATATTTTTTTTTTAATTTCTATCATATTTTTTGATAGAAATTAGAAAAAATTACATTATAAAATGATACCGTAACACTTTGGTTACTATGGCCAGCGGTGTAACTTTGGCC